CGCTGCCCTTCCTGCTCCTTTCTCCATGCCTTCTTGGGGCCTCCCCCCACCCCACACTGCTCCCCACAATCTAAGTCTCCCCAAAAGACACAGGAAACCGTGCATTGTCTGCCCAGCAACCAAAGGCAATGCTGAAACACCCGAGGGGCCCTCCCTCCCCCCGTACCCCGGAGCCCTGGGGGAGCCCGGGGTCCTCAGACTGCCAAAGGAGCTTCACCATCTGGCGCCCCCTGGCCTCGGCCACAACCCCCTCTTCGTTTTTGAGGAGGGCATGCTGGGGGGGCCGCGGGCCCTGCATCGCCTGGTGTGGAGGAGAGTCAGGAGGGGCCGTGACAGTGGCAACGTGGGCTGATGGGAGAGACTGCTCCTCGCCTCTTGTAACTAACTGTGTTGCTGAAAGACTACCTCTCTCTGTGTCACCGGGGCAACCGTGTGGGGGCGGGGCGGGAGGGGCTCCCCTTTTTATATCAAAGGTGCTACATCTCTGTGACGGGGTGGGGTGGGGGGGCGAGGGGATCACTGGTGCTATAGAACGTGGAGACGCCCCCACCCCTACCACCAGGCCAGCCATGTTCCTTTTTGTTCCAAGTCTTTTGAATTCTTCGGTGGTGTTTTTTTGTTTTGTTTTTTTTTTTCTTCTTCTCATGGATGGAGATGCATGTGAATTTTCTTAAGGTGCTATTGACCACGGGGGGAGAGTGTGCACTCACTCCTCACCCTCTCCCCCACCCCCCTCGCCTGCTCGGGGCCTCTCTCTCTCTCTCTCTCTCTCTCTCTCCCTCCTCTGAAACTCCCTCCTCCTCAGCTCCTCCCGTCCTCACAACTCTCTCCCCATCTGTCCTTCCGTCCTCTCTCCTGGGTTTCAGAGCACACATTTCCCAAAGCACAAAGCAGTTTTCCCCCTGGGGTGGGAGGAAGCACGAGACTCTGTACCTATTTTGTATGTGTATAATAATTTGAGATGTTTTTAATTATTTTGATTGCTGGAATAAAGCATGTGGAAATGACCCAAACGTCTGTGCCGTGGCTCCTAATTTCCTTCCATGGAGTGGGGGGTGAGGAAGGGGATTTGGAGTGGGAGGTGGGCTCTCCTTCCTTTTCCTGCCAGTTCACCCCCCTCCCTCCCCCCCCTCCCCACCTAGCACCCTCCTTGGTCCCTCTTCCTCCCTCTAACCGTTTGTATACCTTAACCCACTTTCTTCCCTTTCTCATGCAAGCTTCCTTACAAATCTCCTCAAAACCCTCTTCCTCCTTATAGTACATGCAGGCAACCCCATGTGCAGCAACACACACGCGCGCACACACACACACACACACACACACACACACAACTCCCTCCCCAGCCTCACGCCCACTTTCCCATCAAAGCCATTCATTCTGCTGCCCTCTCACCGCTGTGGGCACCCTGCAGGGTTAGGGGACGTGGGAAGGCACTGCCCATGGGGGGATGGAGGTGGAACTGGTGAGGGCACCCAGAAGGCCTCTCCCTGGGCCAACATGGAGGAGCCCTCTCTGAGCTCCTCCGAAGGGCAGCAAGCCGCACGGCGCCTGAGGGGGTGCCTGAGCCCGCGCGGGGGCTGTGCAGAGGCCTGGGTCCCACTCACCCTCCGGGACTCCGGGGGAAGGAGCGGGGGAGCCTGCCCAGGGGCTGGGAGAACCGAGTCCAGGCACGTGCAGGATGCCACCTGGAAGGTGACAGGCCCTCGCCGTGCTGAGCGTGGACTGGACCCCTCCTGGCCTTCAAAGGCCCCCAGACATGAGATCCCCTGGGTGTGGGGTGGCCTGGGCAAGGCATTTCCCCCCGCCCCCGCCCCTGCCTATTCCTTATCCTTGTAAAACCCTTGCCTCTTACTCCTGCTTCTTCCTCCCCTCCCTTTTCCCTTCCCCTCTGCTGCCCACACGCCTGCCTGCCTGGGCCCCTGAGGCCCCCAGGGGGAGGGAGACAGCGGCGAGCAGTCCAAGGGTGTGGGCTAGGCTACAGCGTTTGGGCAGCTCAAGCCTCGGATTAATGAGAGGGCACGTCCTCTCCCGGCCACATGCAAGTCCAGCACCATTAGAGCCAACAGCTGTAGTTGAAGCTTGAACCTGTGGTCCCGACACGTGGCCCCCGTGCCTGAGTGACAGGGTTGAGGTGCATGTAGTTGAGTAGGATTGAAACCCACGAGAACGCTGAAAACATCTGGATCACGCCCTTCTTTGCCTGGTGGCATCGGCTACAAATTGAAGACACGGCTTGTGGGGTGTGGTGTTCCACCAAGACCCAGCCTTCACACTCTCGTCTGTTTTTTCTGAGCCTTTCAGCCGCCCCCACGCAGGTTCACCCTTGGCCGTGTGTGCCCATGAGGCACCAGTGAGAATGCAGGGCCCAGAGTCAGAAGCCTGGAGCAGACCAGGCGCCCAGAGGCCTGGAGACGCTCCCAGTTGTCCCCACCTCCCAGCCAAGGTCTCGGGGCCTGAACTTCAGAGGCAGGAAAGACCCCTGCTCCTCCCACAGGCCCCTGGGAAGATGGAAAAGCTGCGATCCTCAGACCGTGGCTCTCGTCACGTGGCCATGGCCACTCCTTATGGCCTCGAATATCTCGTCAGCAGCACTTCCAACACCATCAGGACAGCGCAGGAAGGGAATTAGTCGAGAGAGAGGGTAAGAAACTGCGGATGACAGGGAAGGCTACTTCACATGCAGATTAGCTGGTGCCGTGGTGATGGACTGATCAACTGGTGGCACCTGCCTAGATAACCCCCATCTACCTGGACCTCCGGCCCCTGGGGCCCTGGGCAGTCTCACCCCTTCCCCACCTGCCCCCAAGGGATCCAGAAGCATCCTGAGCCTGGCTCCCAAGGCTCTACCTGGCCGTTCTGCACCTGTGCATTCTCCCTGTCCCCTCTCCTGCCCACTCCTGCACACCAGCCAGAAAGGGTGATCGGAATGCCCGCACATGCACCCCACTTCCCACTGCCAGGCCTTTCTTTATGCGACTTCCTTTCTTTTTGCTCACCCCACCCCCTCCTGGCCATGCTCAAATGTGTCACGTCCCCTGGTCCTCCTGCCTGACAGACCCAGGCTGAGTTTGCCCCCTCTGACACTCCAGAGCCCCCCCACCCCCCATCTACATACTCATCTTCGCCCAGCACCCGGCAGTGCTGCCCTGTCTTCACCCGTCCTCTCTCCCGGCCAGGAGCTGATGGAGGCCAGAAGCCAGGCGCTCAGGTGCAGGGCTACGCGTGGATATGGAAAGACTAAAGAGGGAGGAGGAGAGAGACCCAGGCCTTCTAGATGAGAACGTGGGGCCTTCTGGAACTCGAGAGAGCAAGTGTGAGGTGAGGGGGAGGAGCAAGCCAGCCAGCCCACGAGTGGGAGCAGGCAGTGGGGAAGGCGCAGCCCAGTGCTCTCTGCAGCGCCGGGCGGCACCCCCTCGGTGCTGTCCACGCTGTAGCCGTCGCCACGCGTGGCTTTGGAGCACCAGACATGTAGAGAGTGTGACTGAGCAATTCCATTTTAAAAATATATTTTTATTGATTTTTTTTACAGAGAGGAAGGGAGAGAGACAGAGAGCTAGAAACGTCTAGAGAGAGAAACACCAACCAGCTGCCTCCTGCACACCCCCTACCGGGGATGTGCCCCCAACCAACGTACATGCCCCTGACCGGAATCGAACCTGGGACCTTTCAGTCCGCAGACCGACACTCTACCACTGAGTCAAACCGGTTTCGGCAGCAATTCCATTTTAAATGGTCGTTCATTTTAGTCATGCATTTTAGCAGCTACCATGGCCAGTGGCTACGTCTCTCACCGCATATATACACATCCACCCACGGGTGCAGGAGTGTGTGCGTGCATGCATGTGCATGCGTATCCATGAGGGCACCAGGGGGGACATGGGATGTCAGGGCCATGGGGGTGGCGGTGCCTGCGGTGCAGCTCCGTGTCTGCACCACCTGGGGTGAGGCCAGAATGTGGTTTCGGTGCGTGTGCAGCGCAGGAGAGGAGGGGGACAAAGGGGCCATTGTACCACATCCCCAGCTGGAGCCCTCCTCCCCGCTGACATCACGGCGGCCCTAAATACAGCCACGCAGACCCGGCTCCCCACACCCTGCTGCCCCCCGCCCGGTGGCACAGGGCCGTCCCAGGCTGCTCCGAGGGACTCCCCTTTTGCTTCTCGGTGGAGAGAGGGGCCACGATCCAGTGGATGACTTTTCAGTCAGATCCAGATGGAACATTCTGAAAAAGGAGGAGGCGGCTTTGTTTGGATGTTTTATTTTTTCCTGCGCTCGGAATCCTGGGTCCCCTTGGTGAGGAGAGCCCATCTGCTCAGATTTTCTACGACCGAAACGCGGTGGGTTCTCCCTCCCTTCTCCCCAGCTCCTCACCCTCCGCTTCCCAGTGCCTCTCAGCCTTCCTGGGCGGAGCGGGGTGAGGTTCAGAATCGGGGAGCCGGGAGGGGTTCCTAGCTGGAGTGTGGGAGCCTCCGGTGAGGGGTGTATAGAGTGAATTGGACGGGAGAGCATGGGGCTGCTCTCCAAGCTGAGACTCCCCTCCCCCCAAGGAGGAGGCTGCATGGTGGCCGTCAGTGTGGGAGGCGGAGGGAGTGAGAAGGGTCCCACGGGCCACACTGTGCAGGTGAGATGCCTCCCTCTCTGGGTGCCCCCCCACCTGGGAGCAAATGTGTGCGGGGAATGATGAGGGGTCTGTACATGCGGGGACAGCTCCCCCCTACCCCCCTTACCCCCTCACCCCCCTCCACACACACACACACACACACACACACACACACACACACACACACGGCGGCAGGAGACCCTGTGTGCGCCGAGAAGGCCTGGGTCTAACGTTGGGGATGTGCACGTAGATATGACAGGGCTGGGAGGCCCGCTGTGTGATGAGGACAAATGGGGCGGGGGGAGCAGGGAGGAGTGGGGGGGAAATTAGGGGAGGCAGGGCAGGGGTACCACCGTCCTGAAGTCCCAGGGCCCGTGAGCGGCTGTGTCTGTGCCCCCTGCCGGGTATGTGCCCGGAGGGAACCAAGGCAGGCTGAGCAGTGCCCCCGGAGCAGGGGGCAGGGGGCAAGGCCTGGGAGAAGGCGCCTCTGTCTCTGGGCAACCGACTGTCCCTCACAGGAGGTCTCCATGCTCTGCGGGGTCGCCCCGGCCAGGCCCGAGGGAGGTGAGTGCGGTGCGTGGGGTTGGAGAAGGTGGGGTTCTCTCTGCATAAGACAGTGCGGGGAAGAGAAAGATGGGACGGAGCGGCGAGCAAAGCACATTCCCTAGAATAGAGAGGCCACATGACCAAGTTTTCAGTGACTTCATGGGGGGTGGGGACACACCCTCGCCCGCTCCCCCCTCCCCCGCCTGCTCCCCAAGGCTTTGGAAAACAGACGCAGGCACAGAGGCCTGGGGTGAGCGGGGCCGGGAGGAGGATAGGGAAGGGGCTGGGTTCTGGGTTTGGGTCCCTCTGGGGTGGAGATAAGGATTGCCATGAAACCCACGCTGCCCAAAAAAATATAAATCAGAGCCACGTTAGTCGTTGTAATTTCCCAGCGGCCACGATAAAACTATAAAAAGAAACAGGTGCCATTCATGGTAATCACGGACTGTATGGAACCAGTGTGTCCCCCGTGTCACCATTTCCATTGCACGGGCAGCCCATCTCCACGTGGACGGGACACATTCAAACGCCCGGCGGCCTCGGGGCCAGCAGCTGCCCCACCAGAGGGCACGGCGCGGGCAGCAGACCAGGCCCCAGAGCGGCAGGATTTCAGCCCACAGCTACGGGGAGAGCGTGAACCCTTCACAGGGCACAGAGCAGGCACTGAGCCCACTTCACCCGGAGCTTAGGGGGCAGGGAGCCCCGCGGACCTCTGGTTTGGGGGTGATTGCGTGAGCGCTTGTGTGTACTAAGGTCTCCATGCCTGGGAGCCCCCGATGCGGGGCACTCGCCGGGCCCTCCCTGATTCTCCCAGGGGCCCGAGGCGGCCGTGATCAATGGCGATGAGTAACTAAGTGTCAGAGCTCCATCTGACCCCCGGACCCCAACAGCACACCCAGGGCGCTCTCGTGAAATGAAGCGTGTGTGTCCGTGTGTGGGGAATAGAATAAAGGAGAAGTGTGCTTGTGAGGGCTGGGCCCCCTGTCCCCCACGTCCGGCAGGATCCCCTTCGCCGACGGAGAGGCAGTGAGGAAGCAGCTGGAGTCAGGCCACGTGTGGGGCTGTGAGGGTGAAGGTGGAGGCCACTCCCTGGGCCACGCGGGCAGTGCCAGCTGAGGGATCGCAGGAGCCGAGGGTGGAGCCAGGCTGAGGTGGAGTCTCCTGGCGGAGATGGTGGCGACAGTGTGGCTGTGTCCTTGGCGGTGGGGTGGGGAGGGGTGCGGTAGGATGTGGTGGGGTGAGGAGGGGAGGGGTAGGACTGACTGCCCAGTGGAATCCTACCCCCCCCCCCCGTGAGCACAGGGGTGCTGAGTGTGCCCGCGCCCTCCCCTGTGCTGCCAGGGTGGCTGTGTGACCGGGCACAGCTCGCTGTCCTGTGTAGTCACGCCGCCCTGCCAGCTGCTTGTCTGGGCCACTTCCTCCCCGGCCGGCAGCCAGGCTCCCGTGTGCTGCGGGGAGCTGAGCAGGGAGAAGGCGCTGCCAGCATCCAAGGCGGAGCAGGGAGCAGAGGGAGGTGAGGGGCTGGCCTTGAGCTCCCCTATTCTGTCCCGCTGGCACAGGCAGAGCCCGAGGCCCAAGAGGGAGCTCAGAGGGAGCCCTCTCCTGGGGGGAGGGGGGTGCGGGGCGGGCGGGGAGGATTCAAGGCTGTGCGCCCCAGGCAGCTGCTCCAATCTGAGCAGGTTCCTGCAGCTCCTGGTTTGGCCGGATGAGGGCCCGGGAACAGGAGGAAATGGCGAGTGAGAAATCAGAGGCACCTGCTTGCCAGAGAGCCCACATGCTGGGCGTGGACACCCCAAGACAGACGTCTATTGAGCGCACACAGCGCCGACAGGGAGCCCCTGCCAGCACCCGTCGGTGCCTGTGGGATTAACTAGCCGGGGCTCTGGGAAGCCCGCAGGGAGGGGACCAGACAGGATGCTGGAAACTGGCGTGCACCCTTTGCCCAGCTCTGAGCAACCCAGACCTGCATTCCTTCATGGCCTCTTTCCAGAGTGCCTACTGTGTGCAGGCTCTAGGGAACGAGGACCCCAGCAAGGCACCACCCAGAACAGCTCTTCTGAGCCCCGAGGCCGGGCTGGAGGGGGCTCTCCCCTCTGAGGAGGGTGGGCCTCTCTGAGGACCTGACGTTGCCATGAGGAGGCAGCTGTGTGGACTGGAGACTCTGAGTTCCCGGCAGAGGGAACCGTGGAGGCCAGGACCTAACACCAGTGAGCTAGGAGGCAGTGCGGCGGGGCCGTGAGTGCAGGGAGGCGGGTGCTGAGTCCCAGAGGTGGACAGGTTCTGCGCCCCAGCTCAGAGGGGAGAGCACAGGGCAAGCCCCCCCCCCCCCCCAGATTTTTCCTTTTAAAGGATGGGCTTGGCTGCTGTTGGAGGCGAGACAGAAGAGGCAGGGAGGAGGCAGGGAGGGCGAGGGGAGCTGTTTGTGGGGTCCAGGAAAGAGATCCTGCTGCAGGACTAGCAAGTAGAGGCCGTGAGAAGGGGATGGATTCAGGGCAGGTTTTGAAGGTAGGGATTCTGGGAGTGAGAGACAATTTGGGGCCCTTCCAAGGACAATTCGAGGGCCCTTGCCCATCTGTTTCTGGAACCTGGAACAGGTTCAGAGACTCGGCCCTCCTCGGGAATCCTGACCAGGAGCCCCCACCGTCAGACAGGGCTGCCCACCTGGTCCTAACCCATCAGACCCCGAAGCAATGAGGGGCTGGGAGGCCTCTGAGAAGAAGGCACGGGCAGCGGGAGATGGCAGAGCTGCCGGTATTTATTCTGGGCTCCCTGACCCCAGACACCCTCCCCTGCCCCGCCCCCCTCCTCTCTCCGCTTGTTCCAAGCCTGGAGTCCATCCATCGGACCGGGAGCCGGAATCAGGAGGAAGGATGTGGCCCTGGTGGTGGCTGCTCCGTGAGTCAGGGCAGAAGGGAGGCTGAGGCCGAGGCTGGAGCTGGAATGGGGGCACGGGGAGAGAGTGTGTGGGTTGTGAGGTCCAGGCCCTGGTTCTCCCGCCTTCCCCACCCTGATGCTCTGACTGGTTCTGAGTGCTTGGCGTCGGGGGCCTGGACCTGGCACTGCTGAGCAACCCCTCACCAGCTACCTCAGTGTCGGCAGATCTGTGTGTCCCTCCCTTGACCTCCTCCATCCCCCTCCACCTGCCCCGACCTGGAGACAAAGGATGTCTTGTTCCCAGAAACGAGGCTGGCACCGCCCGGCGGGACCCACCTGGGCGGCCCTCAGCGCTGGTCCAGGATGAGGGGCACCTGGGCGCTGTCCACACGGGGCGGCAGCCGCTCGCCCGTGCGCACGTTGAACATGGGCAGGGTGGAGAGCGGCCTGGGCACCTCTCGGCTCGCCGCCATCTGTCGCAGCTCCTCCGTGTTCCCGCGGATGGTGCAGTGGTGGACCATCTGGATGCTGCGGGCACAGAACCGGCAGAGTCATCAGTTCTGGGAGTCAGCCCCCCAAGCTTGGTGCCCGGCCTGACACTGCCTCTGAGCCATCCCTCAGTCTTCCCTACTGTGAAGTGGGGAGACACACACACATGATGGGTGGAGGGAGGACAAACAGGGCGTTCTGTGGTGCCCGCTCGGTAGCCTGTACTGAAGCAGGGGTTCTGGGTGTAGATAGCCTGGATTCAAAGCTATGTGCCCCCCACAAGTTGCTTAGCCTCTCTGTGTCTCAGTTTCCTCAGCTGTGAAATGGGGCTATAGTACAGCTACCTCTCAGAGCTGCTGTGGGATTAGATGATTTAGGAAAGTGCCTGGCAGGTGGTAGGAGCTCCCAAGATGCTAAGACCACAGTGGATATATATTTCCAGAGGCCAGCATTTCCTGGGCTTTATTCCCTATTTTTATATTCTAACTAGTCCCTTGGCCTGGCCTGTGCCCTCTCACAATCCAGGGGATGTCAGATTGCTGATTTCACTCCAATCCCTACAGGTCAGGCCAAGGGACCCCACCAGTGCATGAATCCATGCACTGGGCCTCTAGTGTGCATATAAAATCTTTGGTTAATCTCTTCCCACCCTTACCCCTGCTTCCCTCTGAGATTCATCAGCCTGTGCAGTGAGTGTCTGTACCGGGTGGTCAGTGTAAGTCATAGCAAACGGTCAAACGGTTGCTTAGGCTTTTATATATATAGATGGCCCTCTAGGTTCCCTCTCTCCCCTAATACTCTCTCCCATCACTGAATATCCAATTCTCGTCCCCTCCCCACCCCTGCCCCAGGCTGGCAGACCTATACCATCCACCTTTTCCTACTGTTTGGCTTTTCATCCAAGCTGTTTCCCCAAGTCCTGCCAGGCCTCGACTGAGTCACCTTTTGGTTGCTCAGACCTGACCTCCTCTCCCTTTGTATAATACCTTGACCCCCCTCCCCTGACCCCATGCCCACTCCCACCCCAGTCAGCCCTCAGCGCTGATGAGCTCCAGGCTCCAAATCTGTCTCCCCATCTTGGCTTCAAACCAAGGCTCCTGGAGGCCTGAGCCAGGCTCCACCCTCCACGGGCCCGAGTGGACTGACAGCCACACCCTGGGGCAGTCCTTCCTGAGCCCTAGCTCCCATTCCTCCTCAGAAGCCTTATTCTCCTTTGACATTCTCCTTTGCCCTCAAGGGGCAAGCATTAGCTCATTCTGAGAAGTGGGGCAGCACCTCAGTGAAGCATGAAGACTTGCTTTGGGTTTGGGTCCCACTGCTTACTGGCTGTGTGACCTTGTGAAAGTGGCTTAACCTCTCTGAGCCACTGTTTCCTCAGCGGCAATGCGAACTGTTGTGCGAATTACGTCAGTTAATCCAGGAAAAACACTTGGATGTCTCCTGGTCAGCGCGGAGCCAGTGGTAACTGCTGTTACGGGGAGCCTTCCATTGCTTTTGCTATCCCTGGGGATACTGTATGAGGTCATTGGGCTCCGTGCAGGGAGGCTGATGAGCTTGGCCTTCAGTGCAGGGATGACTCCAATTCCTTCTACACAAACCCACCCGCATTGGGGGGGGAGGGGCAGCCTGGAGACATTTTCCCAGACTACCTGGTTGTCAGGTCGGACAGACAGCCCGGACTTTTCATTACAAACAATAAGAATCGGATTCCTTAAAGGGGTGGGGTTCCACATAAGAGGAAAGCAACCACTGGGTTACGATCAACTGGGGGAGGACACTTGATCCCCACTCGTGTCCAAGCCTCGATTGGTGGACACAGACTGCAGCCAGAGCCTGCAGATGGGACTCCGGGAAGGACTCAGCTTCCTGCTGAGTGGGCCGCACTCCTGGGGCGCACAGAGGAGGGGGGCCCAGTAGGACTGCAGTGCTGTCTGGCCACAGGGAGGAGGCGGATTCTCTCTCTCAGGCTAGGGGAGGGTCACAATGAGCTCTTGAGTCTGGAATTTGGCAGGCGGAATTGTCCAAAACACAATTTTCCATTCCCAGGCAGGGGGAGGCTGAGGGGGGAGGGAGCATGGGGTGTGTGGATGCTGAGAGCCGACAGTAATGCCCCCGTGGGGGGAGGGCCTTCAATCATGGCCCCGCCCCACGCCCAGCCCCACAGCTGGGGCTCATTACTCTGGCAGCACACACAGGCGGGGAATGCTCTGCGGATGTTTTTCCAGAGCAGGAGCAGGAGCAGGAGCAGGAGCAGCAGCAGGAGCAGGGGCAGGAGCAGGGGCAGGAGCAGGAGCAGGAGCAGGAGCAGGAGCAGGAGCAGGAGCAGCAGCAGGAGCAGCAGCAGGAGCAGGAGCAGGAGCAGCAGCAGGAGCAGCAGTGGCAGCGGCAGGGGCAGGAGCAGGAGCAGGAGCAGGGGCAGGAGCAGGGGCAGAAGCAGGAGCAGCAGCAGCAGCAGGAGCAGGGGCAGAAGCAGGAGCAGCAGCAGGAGCAGGAGCAGGAGCAGGAGCAGGAGCAGGAGCAGGGGCAGGAGCAGGGGCAGGAGCAGGAGCAGCAGCAGGAGCAGGAGCAGGAGCAGGAGCAGGAGCAGAAGCAGGAGCAGGAGCAGGGGCAGAAGCAGGAGCAGCAGCGGCAGCGGCAGGGGCAGGAGCAGGAGCAGGGGCAGGAGCAGAAGCAGGAGCAGGAGCCAGAGCGGAGGCCCTTTCCCCATGGCCCTTCCACATCAGCACCGGGACAGGTGAATGGACAGAGGGGCAGGCTACACTCTCTCTCTCTCTCTCTCTCTCTCTCTCTCTCTCTCTCTCTCACACACACACACACACACACCACACTCTCTCTCTCTCTCTCTCTCTCTCTCTCTCTCTCTCTCTCTCACACACACACACACACACACACACTCACACACACACTCACACACACACTCTCTCTCTCTCTCTCTCTCTCTCTCACACACACACTCACACACACACACTCTCTCTCTCTCTCTCTCTCACACACACACTCACACACACACACACACTCACACACACTCACTCCACCACGCGGACCACAGCAGAGGGTCGCTGAGACTGCAGAGCTTTCCGCCCAGTGAATCTGACATAGTGAAGACCGAGCAGCAGAATCACAGTTAGACTTGCCCAGGCCGTGGTATTTTGTGGAAGAGCCACACTTCAGGATAATCTGAAAAGTGGTGGTGACTAAACAAGGGGGGGTGGGGGAGGCCGGGGGCCGGATTTTGTAGAAATAAATCAACAGAAAGTCCAAACCCACAAGCGCTAGCATCACACATGGTCATATTGGTTACTGATTGAAAACTGGTGGAGGCAGCAGACGGTCCTGATGCCAGGAGAGCTACACCACCGGCCGGGAAAGCAGGACGGAGGAAAGAGCTGCTCGGAAGAGAATGCCTCCAGGCTCGCTGGCAGAGGCCACAAGAAGAGGAGGAGCAAAACCTCCTTGTAAAATTGACATAGAAAATCACTGATCTCCGTGGGAAAATGTCTGTCAGATACGAAGGAAAACGGGGAGAAAAAAAAGCCTGTTCGTTGCTTTGTAAAGGGAGCTGACCAATGGGTGGAGATGGTGGGGTCAAAGTGGTGGGTGTAAAACTGGGGGCTCGGCCCCGGCCAGGTAGCTCAGTTGGTTAGCCCAGTAGCTGGCAAAATCTTTAGTCAACGGAGCCAAATATCAACAGTACGACGATTGAAATTTCTTTTGAGAGTCAAATTTTTTAAACTTAAACTTCTTCTAACACCACTTCTTCAACATAGACTCGCCCAGGCCGTGGTATTTTGTGGAAGAGCCACATTCAAGGGGCCAAAGAGTCGCATGTGGCTTGTGAGCCACATTTTGCCGACCACCGGGATGGAGCATCATCCCAACTTGCCAAGGTTGCGGGTTTGATCCCCCCCAGTCAGGGTACATACAAAAATCAACCAATGAATGCACAAATAACTTGAACAACATATCAATGTTTCTCTCCCTCCCTCCTCTCTCCATTCCCCTCTCTCTAAAGATCAATAAAAACATTTTTTTTTAAAAAACAAAACAGGAAGCTCAGAACACCCTGAAATCGGCTGGCACTCACACACATACATGTATACACGTGTGGGTCTACAGTAGCCCTTCTACCCAGACTACCTGGCAAGTCATCTCCTGTCTGCCCCCCACCCCCCAGGAGTGAACAATGGGGCCCCTGTGACCCTCCCAGGATTCTGGTGGCCTCACAATGTCCCTCTGAGGTCACGACAGGAGTTACCTCACCACCCCCTGCGCCAGAGGCACAAGTCTGCTGAGACCAGCCGGGGGTGATCATCCTCCGTCCTCCTCCTGGCCACCCAGGAAGCTCGGGCCAGAGCCCTCGGAGGAAGCCTCTGACGGGAACAGAGCTAGGACCCCTCGCCCACCAAGCACCACCCCGTGGAGATCTCTAAGCCGCCATCCTGGAGGTCCTCGCGCCCAGCGCCCTTCACCCCCCCCAGGAAGAGATGCAGAAAGACACGACGACGACGTCGACGATGGCGCCACCCTCCACCGCGGCCTTGGCTTCCAACAGCGGCCCGAGCGCGGGCCAGCAGGCCGGCGGGTCCGGGGTCCCTAGCAAGAGCGAGACCGGGCTCCACGCCTGCCCCCAAGCCCACAAGAAGCCCAGCATATCCAAGGTGATCCTGAAGGTCATGGCCGACAAGGGGGCGCGCAACCGCGTGTCCCTGGCCACCCTGAAGAAGGCCCTGGTCACCACGGGCTACAACATGGCCCGCAACGACTGGCGCTTCAAGAAGGTGCTCAAGGGGCTGGTGGAGAAGGGCCTGCTCAGGCAGGTGACCAGCAAGGGGGCCGCGGGCTCCTTCCGCATGGGCAAGAAGCACGCCTCCGGCTTCCAGCGCGCCGCCTCGCGGCGGGGGCGGCCGCGGCGGGGCCGGCAGCTGGGGAAGCCACGGCTGGGGCAGCGCAGGCTTCTCCTGGGTTCCAAGCAGGGGCCCAAGCAGCTCATGAAGGCGGCTCGCAGGGTGGCCAAATGCCCCCGCATCTAAGGAGGCAGGCCCCGCAGGCAAGCACACAGAGGGCCAGGCCCGAGACAGGCTCGGAGAGCAGGAATAAAGGAGCCGTATTTAACGCCCGCCTCCCGGTGTGTCTGGGGTTCGGGGGAGTGGGGAAAGGAAGGGGTCTGGGGCCAGGAGGAGGGGCTAAGGCCAGGGATGGGGGAAACCTGGGCAAAACAAGGCTGAGGTGGATTGGGAAGGGCGGGGGGGGGGGGGGGGGGGGGGATTGAAAGCATCCAGGATCATTAGTTAGTCCAACCACAGCAGAGCGGCCGAGGCCAGAACGGGTCACAGTGATTATGTGACTGGACCCGCCTGAAGCCCAAGTGCCACAGCGAAGTGAGTGTGGGTGTGGGTGTGGGTGCATAAGTGTGGGTGTGTGAATGTGGGTGTGAGTGGGTGTGGGTGTGAGTGGGTGTGAGTGGGTGTGGGTGTGAGTGGGTGTGAGTGTGGGTGTGAGTGTGAGTGTAAGTGTGGGTGTGGGATGGGTGTGGGGGTGGGGGTGGGTTTGTGAGTGTGTGTGTGAGTGTGGGTGTGAGTGTGGGTGTGAGTGTGGGTGTGGGGTGGGTGTGAGTGTGGGTGTGTGAGTGAATGTGGGTGTGAGTGTGGGTGTGAGTGTGGGTGTGGGGTGGGTGTGAGTGTGGGCGTGGGTGTGGGTTTGTGAGTGTGAGTGTGGGTGTGTGTCTCAGCTGTTTCTCCAGGTCCCCTCCCCTGTCCCATGGAGACCAAACAATCAAAGGCGAGCCCAGGCCAGGCCAGGCCCAGTGTCCAGCCAGCCAGGGCTGGGCTTCATCTCAGAATGAGGGCCCAAAGAGGGCCCCTCATCTCAGAATGATCTGCTTTGTCTACGCTGCTCATGGAGGTGGAGGACTCCAGCTTGACAGGGCAGGGGGCTCCCACCCAGCCCCCCACTTTCCCTTACTCACTCCAAGGTGGCCAGGTCTCTCTTCAGCCTGTGGAAAAGCACAGAAAGGGGTTAACCGTTTTCCACACACCCCCGGGGCCAGGAGAGGGGGCCCCTCTTCCTTCCCAGCCGAGCACCTCCCTCCCTGAGGGGTGGGTCCCCACAGAGTACAGATGCCACAAGGACCCCACCACGGAGGACCGGCCCTGCTGCCCCCGCCCCCACACTCACCGCCCCTCCCGCCGGCAGCACATGACGTAGGCCAGCAGCAGCGTGAGCAGCAGCGCCACCAGCAGGGGCACCAGGAGGGTGACCAGGGCGTCGGCCAGGAAGTCGCGGGCCGTGGCCTCGGTGGGCGGGCAGAAGAAGGGGTCACGTTCCAGGATCCCATCGCCTGGGGTGGGCGCCTCGTCTGCGGGCTCCGGCACTGACTTATCCACCTGCTCGGAGAGCCCAGCACTGACCCAGGGGCAGCTGGATGGGCTCAGAGACTCCCGGGGGGGGGGGGGGGCAGGGCAGTGACCCGGGGCGCCACTATCTACTGGCCCCTGCAGGCCACAGGGAGGGGCAGCTCTGATGACCCAGCGGGACAAGCATGGGACGGGGAGCCGGGAGAGAGATGTTCAGAGAGGCAGGGCCGCCCAGTGGTTAGAGTACAGCCCCAGGGTCCAGCTGCCTGGGTTTGAATCCTGACTCAGACCAGTGCCTGGCTGGGGTGACTTCCCTCGAGGGGCACCAGCGTCCCAACCTGTGAAGCTGGGTGGCTAACCGTGGTACCTGTCCCCTGGGCGGCGCTAAGAACACAGCTGGCTGAATGTCATGTGTCCAGCACAGAGCGAGGGCTCAAGACTGTTGCCGATCGCCCGTCCCTGGCTGAGCTGTTGGTCAATTCAGAGGCACAGAGGCGGCTAGGGACCTGAGCTACCTCCACACCCAGCCTAGAGGGGTGAGCGAGAACTCCCTGCTCCTCACCACAGGCAGACCTACTCGGGGACACCTTAGAAGGAAGCAGGCGGCTGTCACCCAGAGGCCCTTGGTGGGGAGCTGCATTGTGGGAGTTGAGGAGCCAGAGATCTCTGGGTTATGGGCTCTGTCGCCCTCTTCTGGTAGAAAATGGAAGTGTGTGTGTGTGTGTGTGTGTGTGTGTGTGTGTGAGAGAGAGAGAGAGAGAGAGAGAGAGAGAGAGAGAGAGAGAGAGACAGAGAGAGAGAGAGAGAGATGAAAGAGACGGGCAGATAAGCAGAGAAAAAGTAGAATAGAGGAGATGGGATGGGGAGGGGCAGGGAGCAGACGGTCATGGGGCCACGCCCCAGCCCCACCCCAGGGCCAGGGTCCCTCCTCACCAGGGACACGTTGCACCAGTCGACTCGGAAGTGGGGCGCCAGGGTGTCGTAGCAGGACAGCAGCGGGGGCTGGCCCTGGGCACAGCGAGCCTGGCTGTCGGGAGACGCCACCATCTTCAGGCAGGTGGAGAAGGGCGAGGCGGAGCCCACCTTGATGTACACCCTGGACCAGACGGAGGCCGGGGAGGGTGTCACCGGGGAGGGTGTCAGCACATGGGAGGGCGTCACCGAGCGCTCAGAGAGGGGGCTACAGGGCCACCCTGAGAGCCGGGTGATGGTGAGACACACAGGGCGGTCCCGTCTTCTGGGAGCCTTATCCCCCACCACTGTCCTTTACAAGGATGGGCCCTTTATGGCCCATGGGCACAGGATGACCGGGGTTTGGGTGCAGGAGGAGCGAGAGGGGGCAGGGCGTGACCAGAGGGCAGTGGGCCGTGGAGGGCAGTTGGGAGGTGCAGAAGGGCCTGGTGAGGCGTGTCTAACATCCCCGTAAAGATCTTCGCCGCGCGCCTGCTCTCCGCATCGCTAATGGACCGTAAGGCCCTGTGATGGGGGGGGGGGGGGGGGGGCGGCGGCAGACTTCATGTATTTTCTCAGTCTGTTTCACTTCTCCGTTGACAACGTTCTCCCAGGACTCCCACTGTTATGCAAATCGTGACCCTTGAGTAGACGTGTGGGTCTGAAAATAGTGGATGACAACAGCTATGCGTAGAGCCAGGTGTCACGCTCGACTAGGAAAGGGTCACAGCTTCGTTTGCAAACCCTTTGGTGACTATGGTCCTTCCCGCCTGTCCAACCGCTCACCACGCTGCACCGACAGGAGGGGCGGCCTCTAGCTCACAGGTCCTCAGGGGTGTTCCGGATCAGTTGGAAACTGATGCCTCTCTTAATGAAGGAAGACATTTTAGTGGAATAAAAAGAAAAATGCGCTGAAACCGGTTTGGCTCAGTGGATAGAGCGTCGGCCTGCGGACTGGGGGGTCCAGGTTCAATTCCGGTCAAGGGCATGTACGTTGGTTGCGGGCACATCCCCAGTGGTGGGTGTGCAGGAGGCAGCTGGTCGATGTTTCTCTCACCAATGTTTCTGTCTGTCCCTCTCCCTTCCTCTCTGTAAAAAAATCAATAAAATTAAATTAAAATTAAAAAAAAGAAAGAAAAATGTGATGCTGAACAAGACTAGTCATCAAGCAAAAAAAAAAAAAAAAAAAAAAGTATAATCCTGTGAACAAAGACTCCAAAAACAATGTATTTTCATTTTTCGCAATAAAGTCTTTTGTTATAAGTTTTCATGTTTCTTTATGTCCTTTTTAACATGCTTCATTCTTTTATCTTTTATGGCGAAATTGCCTTTAGTTAGGCAAGAAAAAGGTTTGCAGCAAAAATTCTTATGGTCAGATGCGTCTGGCGAAGATGTTTATGGGGGAACTATGCAGAACCGTGCTGGAGGGAGAGGTACGGGAGGGGGGGTGGGGGGGGACCCCACCTGGAAACTAGGGGGACCCGTGTTCTATGCCTACTACCCAGACGGGAGGCAAGGCGCTTCCTCCTCCAGGAAGCCCTCCGGGGTCACGTGCCTACCCTTCCTTGCGGCCCTCGATGGGAAGGGGGACACGGCCCCCACGGTCCAAGGCGGAGGTGATGTTGAGCAGCTGGAGCTCTGCTGGCTCCCAGAGGCCCCCCAGGGCAATGAGGAAGCGGCTGGCAGGGGTTGAGGGCAGCACTTCCTCCACGTCATGGCTGCGCACCAGGAACTCGGCCTGGTATGGCAGCAGGGGGCCTGGAAGGGCCAGGGGGGCACCTCAGGCTGCACCCCGCCCTGCACAGACCCTTCCCAAGCTCCCCACCCAAGCTCCTCCCTGGACCTCCTCAGATTCCTTCCTTCCTTCCTTCCTTCCTTCCTTCCTTCCTTCCTTCCCTCCTTCCTTCCTTCCTTCCTTCCTTCTTCACACCCCATACATCACAGGCCCCAAACGCCCTGCCCCAGCCCCACAGACTGCCGGCCAGCAGAGCAGCCCAAGATACAAGCCCTGAGGCTTCCCAGGATGCCCTGCTTCCCACTTCTCTCCAAGTCCTTCCTTCCCCACACCCCCTCCCGGGGAGATCCCCTGAGACTGGCATGGGTGGGGCGGGGTAGGTGGTACCTTCTGGGTCCCCAATCAGGAGCACTAGTCTCTGCTGGGTGGTGTCGAAGCTGTCCCGGTTGTAGGCTACCACCTGCAGGGGACGGGGGAGAGGCCAGGGCGGTGGGGGAGGGGAGAAAGGCTGGGCAGCTGGCGCCTGGGAGGCGAGGACGGCGCGATCACCCAGTCCGAGGCATGTCCGTGAGGCACACAGCATGATTCCCCCCACACACACACCAGCCCTGCCTGTACCTCGATGACCTGGCGGCCGCGGTCTCCGGGGCTGGGGCTCCCGTAGAGGAAGCCGGGGTGGCGGGGGCTGCGCTGGGTGTAGCGGAGCCACCGGGGCAGGTCTGGGTGCCCCTGCAGGTGGGCGTGGTAGGTGACCGGGCGGGCGGGCGGGACAGCTGGTGGGAGGGAAGACAGGGGTTGGGCGCATGACAGGAGCCTTCGCCAGCCCTGGGCCGGGCCCCCCCACCCACCCAGGTCCACGAGGCTCCTCTCACCCACGTGCTCGGGGTCCAAGGTGTGCACGAAGAGGCGGCCCACGGCCGGGCGCAGGGTGGTCTGCTGGGGCTCCGCGCGCCCCAGCCCGGCCAGGAGATCTGCGGGACCCGCAGCCCCCAGACTGGCTGAGCCTCAGGCGGGGACGCGGAATCTGCTCCCCTTCCCCACCCTCGGGGACAGGAGAAGCGTGTGAGAGCAGA